CGGGGAAATGCATGAATCCAATCTGCTGGCCCATGTTTCCAGAGAAACGGGCTCTTGGAAGCCGCTTTCCCTGGCTTCATCCCTTCTCCTCCTTCTTGCTCCCTGTTAGTGCTGCTAGGTGAGTTGCACTCTGCAGAGGCAGACTGCCTGGCTTCCTCCCTGTCCTTCTGAGTGCTTAAGCAGGAGAGGAGAGAGGGGACAGGAGACACCAGGACTGCAGGAGCTGCAATCCTTTCTGCTTTGGTTGCCATTGCTGAGAAGGCTCCTCTGTCCAGGTGGGTGGCAGAGAGCCCTCTCCAGGTTGCCTTTGTCCGGCAGTGTGCTGCTTTGCTCCTGCCCCCAGGACCCGCCCTCCTACCTGGCTGCCAGGTGAACCAGCCTCTCAGAGTTGATCTGTTGTTTCTCTGCAGAGAAAGGAAAGGAAAAGTTTGGTTTGCAAGCTTAAAAGTAAAACAGAAACCCTGGGATTAAAGATGCTTTACTTCTCCTTGGGGAGGGAGAGGAAGAGTCTGAACGCTCAGCAGCAGATGATGTCCCCATGGCACGACAGCTCGGTGAGCAGCTGTGAAAAAGCCCCACATGCGGCTCCCTTCTGCTTCTGTGTGCAGGAAACCTTACACAGAAGGGCTGGTATGCCCCTTTTTGGAGGGGCTGGCTGTTATCCTTGTCAAGGTGCTTGGCACTGTGCTCCGTAGGGAAGGACAAATGCTGTCCCTGTTGTAGAAGTTTGCCAGAGGGCAAGAAGTGCCTGCTGTCGTGCAGCTTTTTGGACCAGCCACCCCATGCCTGACTGTGAAAGGTCTCCCCATCACAAGATGCCAGATCCCACTGGGCTGGACAGGCTGTCGCCAGGTCACTTGGGTGTGATGTGTAACTGCTGCTGTCAGACCAGGATCTCCCAGCTAGGAGATGGTTTGCCTAAGTGACTCCTTCCATGTCAGGACAAAGTTGTAGAGCACCAGGCTCAAACCAGTCCTCCTGCATAGTCTGCCAGATAAATTGTCCTAGAAGAGATTAGCGGTTGAAATGAAATGTTTGGTCTTGCTGCTGGGACTGTTATTTAGAGCCAGACTGTTACTTGCAAAACTGCAGGGAACATCTCATTGTCTTTAAAAAGAAAATATAATCCCATGTACTAAATGTCTCTGCCAGCTATTTGTGAAGTACCAGCAGATCAGCAAGGGAAGGTGACAAATGTTAACACCAGGGCAGGGCTTTGGGCAAAGTTCGGATGTGAGCCCAGACCTGGCATTTCCTTCTGAGCTGGTTTGGGGCAGCAGGGGCAAAGCACTCTGCGAACAGTGGCCTCGTAGGGCTGGTGCCTGCAGCCTGTGTTTGCTCAGCACCTTGCGCGAGGGGCCCAGGCGCAGGTGTGGTTGTGGTGCTAATAACACACCAGCGCGACGTGTTATCAGGAGGCAGGGAGGGCCCTGAAACCAAACCCGCGTGTGTACCTGCAGCTCGGTTCCACCTCTGCTTGCCTGCAAACTACTTAAGTAGCTTTTCCTGAATGCTGTGTACCCGGGCTGGGCTGGGCTGGCTTTGGGGAGCGCAGCTCGGTTGAGCTGCGGGGATCACCTACTTGTCACTGCTCTGCGTGGAGGAGGTGAGTCCTGGCTTCTGGCTCGCTTTCATCCTGGCTCCTGCGAGCCTCCTGAATCTTCCTTTTCCATCCCTCTGCCCCTGTCCTTACAGATCAACAGTTCAGGTGATTTTCCTAGTCTGCACTGGCATTTCTTTCCAGCTAAGCCAATCCGTCTCTCTGTATTCCGTGAACAAAATAAAAAAAGTAATTGATGGGTATTGGGACAAAATGCAATTTAAACAGAAAAGGGTTCATTATCTGTTGCAACTGTGCCTACGACTTGGTTGCTGTTGACAACTTCTCACCTCTGGCTGTGCATGGGTATTGCCTCTGGGTACACTGGGATTTATTTTTTCGTTAAAGCCTTCCGAGGGTGTGGAGGGTGAAGAGACAGATCTTCTCTTACCTGCTGATAAGAAATTCAGCCTCTCTGCCTCAACTTGAAATTCCTAGGCAGTCAGGGAGATGGACAGATTCCTGCTTCCTCCCCAGTGCTAGTGAATCAGTGCTAGAGATGTCACTGCAATAAAAGGAAAGAAAAGCATTTTTTTTCTCTGTGCGTGTGTGTGAGACATCTTTTACTTAATGTTTGGGGTTTGCCTTGGGTTAAGTGCCCCTCTGTAAGCCCTCCAGACCCTGGACTACAGCAGACAGTGGACACTACATCTCCCTTCCAGGTCTAGCTCAGAGTGATGGTGGCTCAGTTAATTTTGGCTTGTGAGTCTGCTTCCTCTAGCTAACAGCACCGAGGCTTGTGCTGCTGCAGCTGGAGGGCTGCAGCTTAAATTCCTATCCCAAGGCTGTCAGCCAGCTGGGCACCCATCATAAACGAATAAGGCTGAGATATCCTGTGTCTAGCCCACATCTAAGAAAGGTGGTTGCTGCCCCCAATCGCTTCCTTGCAGATAGAGTGCATCTGAAGTAATGCTGAGCATATCTGGGGCCTCTGAGTATTCCTTTGAAGCCATGTCTAGTGATTAAAGGAAAACTGTTGTTCCCCCTCTGCCGTTAGTTTGCTATTTGACCTTGGACAAGTCATTTAAATGTTCACAGTTGTTAAAAGGAGATATCTTTTGTGACAGTTGAGGTCTAAATGAATGTGGAGGGGGAAGGTGAGGGATCCTGGAAGGAAAATAATCAGTACTTATTGTGTGTAATTGGCAGCCTGTCAACTCCTCAGCTCAGGAGTGGTGCCTCTCTGCAGCAGCAAGAGGCGGAGAGCGATGCTTGCATCGTTGTAAAACCCTCATCGCCACGCTCCCAGCTTCACCCAGTCATCTCCCTGTGAGTTATTTGGCTGATGGCAAGAGGGGAAGAAAGAGAAAAGGGAGAATGCAGAAACTGTCCCAGCTCTACCTGTCTACTAACACTTGTGCAGTGATGGAGGTCAAATGCATGTGCTCCGTGAAGTTAGGGAACACCAATTTGCACCATGTTTGGGGATAACATGGAGTTTTATCTCTGCCCAGTGTAGCTGTGGCAAGGCTGTGGTCTAGCACACTGCTGGTTCAGCGGCTCCTCCTGCGTACACACTTCGCATCCCTCTCGGCCCTCTGACAAGCAGCCGTTCAGCTCTGCGAGGTCTGACCCGCTCCGCCAAGCATGGCCTCCAGCACTGGTTGCCTCAGCGTGCTGAGGAGGGAGGCGAGCGTTGTCCTGGAGATGTTCCCTGTAGAAGTCTTTTCCTCTCCACTGTAATTGAGGCAAAGAATTTAGAGGGGGGCCGGGCTGCAAAACTGGATTTTCACCTCGTTTCTTCTGATGGGTTCACTCTCTGCAGCTAAGTAAGGGAAACTCTGTACCAGCTAGCTGCTCTGGCATGGAGGGGGTGTACAGGCAGGCAGGTACGCAGTTACAGCTTCCCCGCAGCCAGGGAGGGAGCAAGCGGAGATAAACTCCTCCGCCTGCGTGTCTCACATTCTGTTCATCCTCCTTCATCCAAAGGACCCAAAGCACTTGGGGGCTGCGCTCTGGTGGGACAGGAGGCAGAAGCTTCTGTGCAAATTGGGAGCACACTGCGCAGTCCAGAAATGTGTCACAAGCTGAAGCACATTCAGGCCAGCGGGACCTGTTATGCCTTGTCCCCACAGAGAAACTCAGTGGTGGCTCATTTAGTGTGAGAAGTTAGACCACGTGAATTCTGAGAATTAGACTGCAGTTTGTTTTACTCCTAAATTGATGTCTGCGCAGTAGCTTAATGTCACCCCTCTTGCTAACCCATTCTACCTCCCCCAGCATAACTACAGACCATCTTCCCAAGATGCTTTTAGGAAAACAGCAGTTTGGTGGACTAGCCTGGATGCTGGTAACCCTGCAGGATTTCTTACATTTGTAGACTGACATAGTGGCAAGGCTCATGACAGGTTTCTAAAAGGCATCTGCTTACTCTTGCCTTTGCTGCTTAGCCCCTGTCCTGATCTGATGGCCTCTCCCCTCTGAAGAAGGCAGTAGAGAGGGAGCATGTTACAGGGCAAATAAATGACTCAGACTAATGAGTAAGGTAATTGCCGTTCACTGTTAGATGAGGCTAAAGTGGGTCAGGTTTGTTTGTGAAACTCCATGGAGGCACCATCTGTTCTCTGTGCCCCATCTCAGGGGCTGGAGACAGGATTTGGGTGAAACTGCTTCCCTGGGAGCCTGCAGAGCAGCACGGAGGATGCCCCGGTCATTAGGCAGTGGCGTGGGTTTCTAGAGGTGACCCTGTGTGACTGCCGGCGAGTGCCTGCAGCCCTGATCCTCGAAGGGGACTCTTAATTGATTTCAATGGGAGAGGGGGACCCTAAATCCTTTGTCTCTCTGCTACAACTGCCCATCTGTAAGATGAGGCTGGACAGGACACTGAGAGGTCATTAGACCTCCCTTAGCCTGAAGGCGGGATTGGATTTTCCCAAACCATGTCTGAGAGGTGCCTGTCTCACCTGTCACAAGGCTTGGAAAGAAACCTGGAACTAATGTAGTTCATGTCTTTTAACCCTGCCACTCTCCCAGATGTCCTCTCTTCATCCTCCCATGCCTGCGAGCCTGTTGGGATGGGGACCGTCTCTTTCAGCGATGACGTGCCTGTGTGGTACCTGGTTTTAACCCTTTCCTCTGCCCTGGACCCCTCTGTGTCTAACAAGCTCTCTCTTCTCTCAGACCACAGCATGTGAGCAGAAGGGGAAGCCTGGAGTGGGATCCCTGCCTGCCCACGCCTGGACTTGACATTGCTGGAGCCACATCTTGCAATAAGAGGAAGGGGAAAAGATGGTTCATTCACCGTTGCTAAAAATGGGAGGCAGCATCTGTCCAGCAGACCAGGAAGGAAAGCTCCAGACCATGCCTGTGGGGCATCCCTGGGAGTGCCGCAGCCAAAGCGACACAGCCCTCTGTCAGTAAGGGGTGTAGGGGCAGCACGGCTCAGAGAGCCTGGGTCAGCATGCTCTTCCACAACCGCAAGACCCAGCTCCTGCTGGTCAACTCCCTGACGTTCGGCCTGGAGGTCTGCCTGGCTGCAGGGATAACCTACGTGCCTCCGCTGCTGCTGGAAGTGGGTGTGGAGGAGAAGTTCATGACCATGGTTTTGGGTAGGCAGTTTTTCTCTCATCTTTGAGGTGCTTGTTTCCCCTTCGAGTCTGGAGGGCAGGGGCAAGTAAGGGCATGGAGGCTTGTCTCTGCAGGGTGGTTGTAGGGCTACTGTTATATCAGGGCAGCCTTGTGTTTGGAGGAGGGGGCTGTGACCCAGTGAAGCTTACTGAGTTCCTGAAACGTCCCAGGCTTTTTTTACAGTGCATACAGACCAGTGTTCTCCAGATCTGTCCCCCTAACACCACCTCTTTCTCTTTTCCAGGGATAGGACCTGTCCTTGGCTTGGTTTTTGTCCCGCTGATCGGATCCGCCAGCGACCACTGGCATAGCAGCTATGGCCGAAGGCGACCTTTCATCTGGATGCTTTGCCTGGGAGTCCTGCTGAGCCTCTTCGTGATCCCACATGCCAGCAGCCTGGCCAGCCTGTTTGCCCTCAACACTCGCCCGCTAGAGATTGCCTTCCTCATCCTGGGCATTGGGTTACTGGATTTCTGCGGCCAGGTCTGCTTCACTCCGCTGGAGGCCCTGCTCTCAGACCTCTTCCAGGAGCCAGACAACTGCCGCCAGGCCTTCTCCATGTATGCCTTCATGATCAGCTTGGGGGGCTGCATCGTCTCCCTGCTTCCAGCCATTGACTGGGGTGGCAGCTTTCTGGCCCCGTACTTGGGAGGGCAGGAGACCTGCCTCTTCAGCCTCCTTACCATCATTTTCCTCGGCTGTGTGCTGGCTACGCTCTTTGTGACAGAAGAGGCAGCCACCCAGGCAGATGTTCTGGATGGCCCAGCGCTGAAGGACGCTCCCCCTAAGCCCTCACCTCCTGCGTGCTGCTCTTGCCAGCTCTCCAGGAGCTCATGTCTCCTGCAGGCCAGGCATATAATGCAGGCCCTGAGAAACCTCTGCACGCTGGTGCCACGGCTTCACAGCCTCTACTGCCGCATCCCCAAGGTCATCCGGCGCCTGGCTGTGGCTGAACTCTGCAGCTGGATGGCACTCATGACTTTCATGCTGTTCTACACAGACTTTGTTGGGGAAGGGCTGTACCACGGCGTCCCCAGAGCCAAGCCAGGCACAGATGCCAGACGCCACTACGATGAAGGTGAGAAGTGAACCAGCTGCTCTGAGGCTGCAGCAATTGTTCCCTAGGACAGGAGCGTTTAGTGGGAGCTAGGAATGGGCTGAGCTCTGCTAGTAATGCAAAAATACGTTACAGGAAACTAGATTTTCTGCAGATGGGTCAGGAAAAAACCTTCCCCCATGGCCCCCAGAGCATTGCACAGTGGACCAAATAGGGAAACGCCTCTTTGTCCTCCGAGCTACCTAGCACAGAACTAGATCTGGCAGTGCAGCCCTGGCCTGGGGCTGAAATTGTAAAGTGGCAGAATGGTCTGGCAGGTTACATGCTGAACAGGACGTATCTGGCTCTGTCTGCAAGCTGTGGTTGCTGCTGCCAGGTCCCTTCACTGCTCTTCCCTTCTTTTTAAATGAGGGGTGATGGTGCTCCCCATCTCTTGGAGAGCAGGGGATGGAAAGCCAGGACATGCTTAGTAGCAGTGAGGTGGGCTTTGCTGCATCTTCCTTTCATGCTACTGTGAGGTTCTCATCTCACACCTGTATCTGGGGTGCGCTCGAGCAGCTTCCCCCATTCTCACCCCTCTCTCCAGTGCTTTCTGATAGTGCTCACCACTGGAGTCTGTAGCTGCCATGTCCACATCATGGGATACAGCTCACTGCAGCACATTACCTGCTTACTGTTGTTGCCTGCTGTCCTGTTTTGGCTGCTGTGTTGTGCCAGAGCCTTGACTCTCTGCCTAGAGAGTCTTCTTTTCCTCTCCCTGATCTAAGTCTTTTATTCTTGGAGGCACCTTCCCAGCCCTCCTCCTCCGTCTTGCCCTCTGAGTTTTCCACTCACTGCCTCCGTGAGCTCTGCAGTACACTGCCTCTTTGTGCTGAGTGTCTGTTTAACTTACAGGGAGCTTAATTATTATTTAACACTTGCACTGTATAGCTTCCAGCAGGTCAGGACTCCATTGTGCTAGCTGTCATAGAAACATGTGTTGAGTAATGATCCTTGCTCCAAAGGGTTAATGGTTTTAATTCCCTGAAATCTGATAGATCTTTGCAAAGGGTAAGGTCCGGATTGCTACCGGATACTGCAGTCGTTTAGTGGATGTTGTATACTTTACCTTGGCTTAAGCACAATTCCTTGTTCCTTTTGTTCTGTTGCTGGTTTTGGCATCTGATAACAACGGATCCTGGTTCATGAGCAGGTGACAGACAGATCCTGGGTCAAGAGTAGGAAGGTGCAAACAGCAACCACTTCCAAAGACAAGAATAGCATTTGGATTCCTATCTCCCATTGCCCCTCTGGTTAGACTGGGGTGCCCAGGAGCACGTGTAGGAAATACTCGCTGCTGGTGGAGGGTGGGAGCTGCAGTCTGCCTTGTGCAACCCAGGGATATGTTAGGTGATGCTGCTCTGCTTCCTGACCCAGCCATGTGGTTGTCAGGGCTGTTTGCGGCTGTGCCACACTCTGCGTGGACTGTACTGGGTTGGGCTCCAAAGGGAGAGGGAAGGAGGCCCAAAGGTGTTTGGCTGTGTGAAGCCTGGGTGCAGTCATGGCAGCGTCTGTCACCACTTCTGCTTACCTGCAGGTGTCCGGATGGGTAGTTTGGGCCTCTTCCTCCAATGCGTCACATCCATCTTCTTTTCGACAATCATGGACCGGATGGTGAAGCAGTTTGGGACGCGGGCGGTCTACCTGGCCAGCGTGGTGTTCTTCCCCGTGGCTGCCTTCGTCATGTGCCTTTCCCACAGTGTCATCATCGTTACCATCTCAGCTGCTCTGACGGGCTTCACCTTCTCTGCACTCCAGATCCTGCCATACACACTGGCATCACTGTACCATCACGATAAACAGGTAGGGATCTGCTCCAGAGGGCAGTGTGCCAGGTAGCTGTGAGGACAGCTCGGCCAGCCTCTTTTGCCACTTGTAGCTGGTACAGTCAGTTCAGCCCATGGAGGAGAAACACATGCCTATGTACAAAGGTTTTCCACATGTGCCTCTTGTCTCCAGGCTGTGTCTTCTCTGAAGATTCATCTGAAATGGAGGAGATAAGAGAGTTTAGCATCTCCTTCCTTAGGCATCCCCTGCTCACAACAAGCGTTATGCAATTTTAAAAAGTGGGCAGTGGGTAAGATGGGAGAAGTCAGCTAGGATTGGTGTATCAAAAGGGATGTCCTATGTTCCTCTGTGTTTTGCATACTTTTAGGGAAACTGGTGCAGGTTAGTTATACCTGCGTGCGTTCTGCAACCAAGTCACATCTGCAGCACTGCCAACCTGAGGTGCTAAAAAGCTCAAGAATTTTCAGCCCTTCGAGGTCCTGCTTTCCAATTTTTGTCCATAGCATGAAGATCAGTAAAATGAAAACTGAGGTTCTTCCTATTCCCCTAGCTCCAAGAAAAATAAACGTTGTGAAACTTTTCACACCAACACAAAAGCTAGTAATCCTGTCCCACAGATGTTATCCTTGTGGAAGAGTCCTAGGAGGTTCCTGAGTTGCACACTGGATTAATAGGAGTTTCTCTTGTGCTGCAAATGCAAAATTAATTTGTGGTTTGAGAGCAGTTCTTTCATCCCAATGGCAGGCGGTTCACTGTGCAGTGAAATAAGTAGGAGTTTTTACCACAGGCATCCAGATGTTCACATTGAACAAATACTTCTGACCAGCCCATCCCAATTTGCACCAGGCACCCTGTCAAAATAGGGGTACGAGGGAGTGTTCTGCTTTGCAAAAACTTCAGTTTGGCTGGGATCTCCCATGGACATAATATCAACAGAATGAAAACCAAACTCCACAGGCTGGGTATGTGAAGGCCACATGCCCAGCTGTTTGCCAAAAGCTTGACAGGGAAACACTCTTAGTACAATGAGGTGTGGGGTGTAGCTGGGTTTGGTCTCTCTGTTGCCCTAACTTGAAAGTTCCTCCTTCCTTTACCAGCTACTTTGCAGCAGGCTGCAGGGAGACTCCACAAGAAGTAGTCCCTAAAATGCCTTTTGCAGAAAATTCTCCATCTTCCCCATTTCTGTTCTCTTCTTTTTTCTTACTGTTGAAATCTGTCATGGTTTTTGTTTGCCTTCCCTCGTTCCTGCTTCCTCTCTTCCCTCTCTTTTTTTCCTTTTTTTTTTAACTTTAAACACTCCTCCCAAAGCGAATCAGCGGAAGGGGCATCCAAAGTGGCTGTTGCTTCCACCTTGTGCGGGATCGTTGGTGAAAGCCTGCAAGGCCACCTCTGCTGGAGCTCCTTACTTTGCACAGGCTGTGTAAGTTGCTCTGTTCTCCTGCATGCCCTCTCATCTTGGCATGGCCTCTAAACCTTGTCTAGAACAGGAGGAAAAGATCTGCATGTTCTAACAGCGCCTGAAAGCTTGGTAGAGGTGAGATGCATGGTGGGCATTCAGACCTTCTGCGGGAGATGAGGGAGAGCTAGGTTCCTCATTCCCACCGCTCCCCATCAACTACAGAGGGAGATGAAGCTGTTGATTGAGGCACCACAGACTCCTGTGGTTGTATCCTGTGTTACAAGGGGTGATTTTAAAGCATCAGTTCTCACTAAGCTCATTCCTGTGAGTATGTGTTTAAGTCATTTTCTCTAGGTTTAAATTAATTCTCCACACTAGGTATTCAAACACCCCTGCCAGAACTTGTATCTCTGAATTCCTAGCCTGGATCAGTAGAAACCAAGAAAACGTGGCATGGGCCTTCAGGGCAGCTGAGCAGGCTTCTGGGAACGTCAGTGTAAAATATGAAGGGCTGGAACTGTGGGGGACATCCTAGTTTGGCTCACACAATGCCCTTTCTGTGCTGGGTTTTGAGTTGCTTTGAAGTCTGATGGCAATAGGAGGCACGTGGGAGGATTTTTAAGCTCCGCATAAAATAAGTGACGGTCCTGGATTGATGCATTTAAGTGTAAATTCATGAGCCTAGGCAGAGTTGAGGAGTTGAAGGGTACAGTGAGCAGCTGAGCAGAGCTCAGGTAAAGCTTTTGGAAGATGATTGCTATTTAGTGAAGTAGTTCTCATCTGGTTTCTCTTCTCCGATTGAATCTGAAACACTTTGTGCTACAGATCTGCAGCCATGGCCTGGGGCAGCATGAACAGAGACTGGCTGGTGCTGACAAACACTAGGGCAGGGCTGGGTGTAGCTGGGTGGGTGCCAAGACTGCTGGAAGCTTTGGGATGGCCTGCAACAGAGCTGAAGTGCCCACACTCCTGCACCAGCGGTTCCCTCCTGTCGATCTGTCTCTGGGTCCTTCCTGCAAAAGGAAGGATAGTTCAGGCAAGCCCCTCTGAGCCCTGCAGCTGGGTACAGTGCGCTCTGCTCTCAAACAGGTGCTGTTTTTTTCCTTTTTATTTTCTTTGTTTGTTCAATCTCACCATGCGGATAATGGATTAACATGTCCTTCGTTATCTGCTCTACCCCATGCAGACCAGTGGTTGTGCATAATTGCAAAAGCCCTGGAGTTTTAAAGCTGGAGCTCTGCAGCATTTTCACTGTCTGCACATGACTGCCCATTATTTGTTGGCGTTAACGTGGAAAGCTTTTTGATCCAAATACTCTGTGTGAATACTGCTGCAGTGAGCCATGCCCCAGAGATCTCACAGCTTGAGCAGAGCGAGGCAAAAAAAGGTGAGAAGAAAAAGATTTTTCTTCCCCCCCACCCTCCTTTTCTAGCCTGAGTGAGGAGGCTTGGGTCAGGCAGATGAAGCAACTCAGTTGAGGTCATGCATGCACGGTCCGTTGCAGAGCTGAGAAAAGAGCTCTTTCCTGAGTTCCCAGCACTGTGCCATCTCAGCTGGTGTCACTTTGAAGTATCCCAGATACTAAGAAGTGGCCATGCATCCAGGGCTCTGAACTGTTCATCTGCCCTTTGGGCTCTTCTGCAGGAAGGTTTTGGGTTCCTAGTCAGCCTCTTTATAAACACTTCTGTTTGCACTGGAGTGCATTGGCTCTGTGATACGTCCGAAGTGGGCTCTGGCCCTTCACTCCTGTCCTGCAAGTGTACATCAGCTGATTTCAGGATAGGGTGAGCTGTAGTTGGTGCCCGGATTCCCTTGGCACCCAGTGAGGAGGTGACAACCCATGGCTCAGCGCAAAATGTCCCCAAGTGCAGAGCCTGGGCTGGCTTTGGGCTGCAACGCTCTGCTGAGCCCCAGAGCTTCAACACAACAAAGGCACCACTTGGCCAGATTCCCCCGGTGAGTCAGGGTTGCTTTGAATCCTGTGCCAGTCGGGAAAAGCCAGGCTGGCTCCTGGAGGCCATCTCACATGGGCCAGGCTCACTGCAGGCGCTCCCCACCTTTAACAGCCTGACCCAATGCACACAAAGCACAGAGTGGTTTTGCTCTCTTGCACTAAGAACGGGAACCACTCTGGCCCTCACCTCGCTTGCTGGGTTCCACCCTACCTGCTCATTCCTCATGTGCCCTCCTTCTTTCCCCTAGGTATTTTTGCATAAATATAAGAGCAAAGAGGAGGAAGACGCAGCTCGATTGGACAAGAAATCAGCCTTCTCTAAAGGCCACCTTTCCAGCCAGAAGTTGCCTTACCAGAATGGACATGCTGGGAGCCTCTTCTCTTCTTCTTCCCCTTCCTCCTTGTCTCCTCCAGCCGCTGGCTCGGCTCTGTGCGTCAGCTCCTCCTGCGACGTCTCGCTCATGATGATGGGGGGAGAACCGGACCCGGTGGCTCCCGGCCGAGGGATCTGCCTGGACCTGGCTATTTTGGACAGTGCTTTCCTCCTCTCTCAGGTTGTCCCCTCCCTCTTCATGGGGTCCATCGTCCAGTTTACGCAGTCAGTGACTGCCTACATGGTGTCAGCTGCTGGCTTTGGCCTGGTAGCCATTTACTTTGCAACCAAAGTTGTCTTTGATAAGAGTGACATGGCGAAATGTTCAGTGTGATGTGGAAGGCACAAGGGCAGCACGCGGGTGCCTGCACGTGGCAAAATAAGATGTGTGTGTTCACACGGCCACTTGTGGGAAGCCTCGTGTGGGACCTGCTCTCCCCATGCTGTTGCTGTAGCCCCGGGGGGTAGTTCTGGGGCTGGGGCAGGAGAGATGCAACACGGCTAATCTCAGGTGTAAATATGAGGCATCGGGGCATTGTGCTTTGGGCCATCAGTGCTTTCCAAAGGTGCCTTTATCAAAAGAAAGCACTGCACAGCCAGCACCAAAGGGGGTTATATAGGGGAGGGAAAGGAAATGGACTTTTCCTTTAATAACGGGTCATGTTTCTGAGCAGGAGAGGCAGTGGTATGGGGAGGGGAGGGAAGAAAGCATTGGCTCTCCTGTTTTCCAGTTATAGCTGTATCCTCTTCCCCTGCTTGTAGTTTTACTCAGCTTCTTGAGCAATACTTCTGCAAATAGGACACTGGGAGGAGATTTCCTTGGAAGAAAAAGATGGGTGGCTAAGGTTTGGCCATGGAGCAAAGGGGGTGCATATGTGTGCACACACGCTTCCGTCCTTCCCCACCTCTGTTCTGACTGGGAAAAACTATTTAGGAGAAAAGTTATATGTCTTGTTTTGGAAAAACAAGTAACGTTTCATTAGGACCAATTCCAAAAGGTGACTTATCTTTTACCTATGTACCAAGTTGCATCAGATGGAAAGGACTTCTTCACTTTTTTTTTTTTTAAATGATTGTTTTTAGCTTTCCTCACACAGTTCTCAGTAACTCTGACCTGTCACTCCTCAGCACTCAGAACTGCTGCCTGCTCTCTCCCCTATAGACTGTTGTGCCTCTTCCACACCTGGCCCCTAAAAGATGCTGCAATATCAGAAAGAAAATCTGTTCTCAGAGGGTTTTCACAGTCCTGTGACAGTGAAGTAGAACAGGAAGAGCTCTGCTACAAGGCTACCTGGGAACAAGTGTACCAGGCCTGAGGAAGCTGGAGGAATCGTCTGTCCGCTGACGACTAGTTGAGCTTGGCAGCAGTCACTGCTGTAGTAGGTACCTGGAGTTGGTTGCTGCCTGTGTCTGTTTTCCCTCAAAGACATGTCCCCAAAGCAACCTTCTAGACCAGACTCTTCTTTCCAGACAGAAAGGCTTTCGGCTGTGCTTGCAGGCTGCCAGGAGTGCACCTTGCAGAGCATACCGCATCCCAGTACCCAGCACGGTGCCTGAGTTAACACGTTGCCAGCACACCCAGAGAGGCTGCTGGAAAACAGCATCGTAAACAGGAGGTGGGTGGGATGAAATGTGCCTACAGCCACTCTGGCAGCTGCTTACGGAGCAGGGTAAGCCTAGTTCTTGGTGTGTTGCACAAAAGGAGGAGCAGGACAGAAACTCTTGATGCTGTTTGTGCCCGTGGTTTGCTGATCCAGATTACATATTTACTATGTAATGGGATACTTGTTTGGGATTTTTAAAATAGATTTTATTTTATTTCCAGACAGGAGTCAAGATTCTTACTGAGGCACAGCATAAACACAGTTACCTGCTAGAGTAGGGCAAGGTGCCTCTTGCTCCCATAGCATTGGGACCAAACACTCCTGGGTTGTTCAGACTGTGAGCTCCCAGGTGTGAGTCATCTTCCACTGGCAGAAGAGTGGCTGCAGCCGTGTGTCCTTCTGGCCAGTCCCATTCCCAATACAAGTGGACCAGCTGGAATAATTCTGCTGGTGGCAGATTTCTACCACTCAAAGACCACCCGTACACCAAGTAGGAGTCAAGGTCCTGGCCCACAGTCAAGCACTTAGACTTTGAAATGATCCAAGCTCTGCCTGCAATGCGTAGAGGAAAGCATGACTTGGTCCTTTGGAGGCTAGGCTCTGAATATGCAGACGAAGTTCAACAGTCCTTAACTTTGGCTGGTCTAAACAAAGTGTTTGTGACTAATTTTCTGCGGAGGTGTGTGGGCAGTGAGATGCACTTGTGAGGTTCGGCTGAAGGGCAAAATGTTGCTATTTTTGCAAGGTCTTGTCGGAGTACTCCTTGGCATGGAATCAAGGTTACTCCCCTGCTGTCTGCAGACGGGTCCTGAGAGGGCTTCTCCTAAGTTTTTTAAACATTTCTTTCCCGTAAAGGGTGACTGTTTTTGTTTTATTTCTTCTCAAATTATATGCCCACCAGCCTCCCTTTCCCACAACAAGCTTTGTGTGCTGAAATGCAGCTGTTTTGGGGATGGATTTGGCAGCTGCTTAACCACCTATGGAAACAGTTTTTTGTCTGTACTTCCTACCCTGGTCTCTGTCCACTTCAGGCTTCAGGAGGAAGTCTTGGAGGCAAAATGTTATTGCCAAAGGTGGGGTGTTTCTTGGATGAATGGTCCTAGTAATCGGTAACCTCTGACCCAAGATTTTTCAAACAGGTTCCTACCTGAGTGCTGAAGTATCCTTTATTTTTATTTTTTCTTATGTAAAATGTGGGGAACCTTCACACATGGAGGCTGCTATGATGCTAAGTGCTTTTGATAATTGAGCCATTTATTTAAGTGCCTAAAGAGTACTTCCACACGAAACTTCAGGTGTACGGGTTTGATGATAAAGGCCTTGAATGCTTCATTACAGACATCGAAGTGATCCTCGAAAAAGCAGCGGGCTGGAGGGGGAGACAGCCTTGTTTTATAATGTCCCTTGGTTTGGAACATGAAAGAACAAGATGCTGCAGTTCTTGATCCATAAGTTGTATCTGTCCCTCAAGAGGAGAAGGCTGAAGCCTGCCAGATTCCCTGACTGACCTGCCCTCCATCCGCTGAGGTGGCTTTGGTGCAGCTATAGCCTGGCTGTGGCTGGTGGACATGAGTAGGTTTGGGCTCACGGCACGTGCAGCAGGCTCTGTGTCTTGGCTGAGCCGGAGGGTTTGGGATTAGTCAATGCAGGTTGGGTCTCAGACCTGCCCTTCATTGACAGATCAAGCGTGCCTTTGGCCTCCCTGTTCTCCCATCCCTTTCATTGCGCTGGGTCACAGACTTGGCACCCAGATCTCCTTGGCAAGTCTGGTGTCTGCATCCAGAGTGCTGGCTCTGATCTCACTGGTCCTAGGAGAGGGCAGGCTGGGTTTGTCCAGATTTCTCGTAATTAAGATACGCTTCCGGGGAGGTGCCTGCCTTTATTTCATTTATGTTCAGAAAAGACCGCTGAGCGACTGAACTTGTCACTCTGCAGCCGGCTGCTCTTGCTCTTTGCTGCTGCATCCCAGACGGGTGCCCGTCATCTTGCTTTGGCCTGAGCTGTGACTGGATTGATAACAGAGCTCATTCTCCGTTCCAGCTGGAGAGACGCGATCCAGTCTGAACCAGGGGCTCCTTATCCACTTGTCCTCTGGCTGCACTGCTGTTGTTTTAGCCAGTTCAGCAAGTATGAGAAGAGCTACTTGATTATCCACCAAGAGACTCTTTGATTTCTCCCCTCTCTCTGGCACCCTTCTTCCCGGTTCTCCAGCTGGAGTGAAACCCAGCGAATTCAGTAATTGCTCCTTTCCTTCTTACCCTCCTATTACACCAGGAGAAGTCTGCTGGGCCCTCTGCCAGCTACTGACAGAGTGGGCAGATGGGTACAGGAAGGAGTGTTTGCCAAGACCCAACTCTGCCTTCACTAACCCTGTTCCCCGTGGGACTTCAAGCCCAAACAGATTTGGGCCGTTCGCCCTAAGAGCTCGGCTGTTTGCAGGAGGAGAGGAGGGGTGTAGGAAACTGCCACGTGCAGTCAGGTCCTGGGTGGGTGGTGGGCATTCGGGCGACAGGGAGAGCAGCTTTCTGCGTCAGAGTTCAGCGGGGAGGGAAGGCGAGGCAGCAGCCTCGGAGGAGAACGGGGAGAGATCAGGGCGAGGGAGCAGGAGGAAGAGGGGGTTCTGGGGAAACTGAGGCTTGTAGCAATGTGAGGGGCTGGTATGGGACGCTGGCTGGAACTGGGCTGGCTCTGCCCTGGCAGTGGGTGGGAGCATGCCCCTCGTTGTGGTCTTGCCCTGTCCATAAAGCACTTCGTAACCCTTCACGCTTGCAGCCTCATGCCAGCATGATCCCAGCCACGTCGCAAGAGCTGGCTGTGAAAAGCCTGAGCTCGGGGCTTGAGCTGGGGCTGTCAGCAGCTGCCTTCCCCAAACCCGTAGGGCATGTTGCGTTTGCTGTCACCGCAGTGGCCCCGTCCCTGTGCTCTGTTATTGCCGAAAGCCTTTCTTCCTAGTTCAGGCTGCCGCTGGGGCTGACAGGAGAGGCGTTTTCCAGAGCATCTGTTGAGAAACCCCTTTCTTTGTAAGGTTGTCCTTTCTGGCTAACCCGGTGTGCTTCTGCCGAGAACAGCTTCCCTGTGTCGGGATCGGATGTAGACCAGCAAGGGACACAGGCGTGTTCTAGTGAAGGTGAGCGCATCCCTGGCACGCTCTTACTGATATAACCTCTGCGAACATAGAAATCTCCCTAGGACTGGATTATACTGTACAGCTTACGGTGTCGGTACAAGCTCTTCGGAGGCGGTCGCCACGAGCTTTTCTGTTTCGGGTAGTGGGTGCGCTGCTGCTTTCTTCTCCCGGGTGAATCATGCTGTGCCTCTCCTTTTGCGAGATGGGGGTTTTGAGAGTTGAGGTGGGGAGCAGAGGGGAGGGGGGGGGAATGTCTTTTTATTGTGAGACTGTTGTGAATCTCTAGGTTCGGGAAGGATGTGTGGATGCTGTTTTGAGATCATACACTGTCTGCGAGACGTTCGTGTTTTATTTATTCGGTAAATATTTTGTATACCGTGTAAGAGGAAGGCTATTATAAATTTTTATGGAAAGGAGGAAATAAAAGGTGTTTAAACGGGGACAACCGTGTGTGTCGCTGAACGGACGGCACCGCAGCGAGCGCCCTGCGGCGGGGCTGCGCCGGC